TGGACGTCCAAACAACCTTTCATCATACGTTTCTTTATATAATGTGCTTAACCTCACCACCACTATACACAAAGAGGCAACTATAATTTAATTTAAGTTTTTTTCAACATATTATTTTGATGCCTCTATTGGGAAAGAGCATCACTCAACCAGTTGGTCAGTTATTTAGAAGTCAATTTCATTTAGTCAGTTAGGAATTGGGACTGTCTTTCAGTCTATCAATCATGTATGAAGTATTGTTTAACTGTTTCACTCCCAGGATCTCATTTAGTATTTCTCTTTACTCTCTGCCATACAATTCTTATGATGTTAGTGTGGAGAATTTGGAGTTGTATTAACTAATAATCCCCTAATTGATATTTTTCCTTATTCTCAACACTTTGTGCTTGATACTGTATTAGTATGGTAAGGAGTGAAAGGTTAAGTTTATAGTGATAGCTTGTTTAATGAGGGACACATCAGCAATATGCATGGCACTGTTAGTAAGGGATAGGTTGTTTGTTTTTATATGAATGTTATTTTACAGCTAGCATTTCATTCAATGTAGGTGTGACCAGCCAAATCAATGAAACTGCAAATGAACCAATTGCTACAGTAACTACAACTCCAGGTACCAATTGATTCATTTAGTACAAACATTTTTTTCTTTTGCTATTTAGCTTAAAGCCACCATTGATTTTGTGAATGTACAGTGTATTGTAAACATCACATAATAGAAGAGTACCTCACAAACACATCTCAATGTCACCATTTGGACTGCACTCCCATCTAGGTTTACCTAAGTTGTTATTTCATGTTATTTCTTACCTTTAGGACCAGGCAACAAAATTTAGGCTGTCATTGGTACTGCTATTAGGGTTGTTGCATCAACTTTATTCCTGATTGGAGGAATTGCATTTTGGTATGGCAAAGGTCATGCAGAAGACAAAGAGGATCGAGACACAAGGTATGCTGATCGAGTGGAGTTAGTGCATCACTGAGCCATATTTTGTACCAGTTGATGCATTTTGACCAATCAGGATCCAGAATTTTGACACACCCCCAAACTTGAAATTTTTTAACTCAAGGCATGTTGAGGTGTTTAGAGCATTTGGAATTTTTTCGCTGCTAAAAACCTTGGTGAAAACCTGTAAGAATCAAGCCAGCTTGCTAATGTGTATTTTTTCTACCCCTCATTTAATTAGAAAAGTACTCTGCTATAATTTTAAGTCTGGAGGAGAATTACTCTTAATTGTAATTGGTTGATTTGGAGCTTTTAATGTCCCCATGTCCCTATGCCCCCTTCCCCCCAGGGCAACCCCCCCCCCCCGGCATTTGAACCTTTGACGATTGCTTTGTTCAAATTCCTGTCCTTTGGGACCAAAATTGTGCTCAAATGCTCTACCCAAGTTCCAAATTTGATGGTCAGAGCTTTTGTAAAATACAAGATCGGCCACATGTTCAATTATGTGCTAGATTTGATGGACAATGTTGTTGTGAAAGGCTAGATCAGCCCCTAGTGGACAAGCTTTAAAAGCTTAGACCTTGTAGACCTTTTCTTCTCAGCCATTCAATTGCAAAAGTAAAATTTTTATCTTGAAACACCTCCATATTAAATGATATAACACTTGTACTCTGCTGGAAAGACTTTTCCAATTCAAATTCCCCAGTTCAGTCATGCAGTGCTTAAATTTTCCAGTCCAGCCATGCAAGACTTAAATTCCCCACCCCCTTGAGGCAAAGCTTAAATTCCCTATCTTTTCCCCCCCTCCCCCAGGCAAGTCTCAATTGGATGGGAAGTTGAGGGGATCAAAGCCAGTAAAGCAGCAAAGCATGTGCCAAAAAACACATAGCAATATGCCCATTCTAACCTCCCTTGCGCCCACTCATTGTTTTGGTGAAAACATTAGACTGATATGGTTTTAACCTTAATTCACTTGCATCCAGCACCATTAAAACAAGTGAGGACATCCATAAAATGTGTTTTTACTTCTCTCAGTAAAGAGTAGTTGAACCTTAACAAATAAAAAACCCTCAATAGCAGTCATCACTGATAGTTATGCTATTAAGAAAAAGAACAGAAAATATTTTAACCCTCTCTTTCATCTCATGCTAGGTAATGAGGTTTTGGTGGTATTCATTGTGGCATTCATTGTGCCTATAGTACTTTAGTATGTTTGCATCTCTTCTTTCTCTCTGTCTGCCTGTCTGTCTGCCTGTCTGCCTCCCTGCCAGTTCTTGTCTGTCTGTCTGTCTGTCTGTCTGCCTGCCTGCCTGTCTGTTATTTATTTATTTTATATTATTATTGTTGTTTATTAGCCCAATCCACTGACCAACTTACACGAAATAGAAGGCTATAATAGAAAATGGAAAATTTTTTATGAAAATGTCCTTCCCTATAATTACATTATGGAACGACCTTGCTCCTTTGCATAAGATCGCCAAGAGTAGTTCTTCTAAAAAGCAGGCTTAGGCTAATGATTTATTAGGTAAACAAGTAAATGATACAAAGTACATAATAAAATTAATTATGTATTTAAGACTTGTAAATATGCAAATAAATTCTCCAGTATAGGGCTCACAGCAGTTTTGAATGAAGTGTCAATAGCACCACTTTCCCAAAAAGTTAAATGATCACAAAATAAAATCAGGGAGTGATTTATCGAGACTGATCCTTTTTGTATAGTCATACGCATTTTCCAACTTCGAAGTCGGTCTTGCGCAGTTTTAAAACCCGCTAAGATTTCGAGTAGGTTCCTTGTGATATTATCCTGTGTATTGATTGCCCAGAGTGAGAACTTGGCTTGTTGTTTTTACGATTTTCCATGGAAAAGCGCTCTAAGAGGTTCTTAAATTAAATGTTGGTTTATGGCGAATTTTTAACACTGATTTGTGTCGTTTTGTGGGGTCAAAAGAAGTACATTCGAGCGTTCAAGTGGGTGGGAAACAGTAGAATCCGGGACGCCGAGGCCCTATTCACTTTGAGAAAAGAGGTTGGGGGCCGTTGTGAAGAAATGGCCATGAGTAAATGTATTCGCGGGGAGAAAAAAATAGTGCAGTGGAGAGTTCGCTGTTACAGACAGGTGGCCCTTAGCAGAGTTTCCCCCTATCAGCCTTTGATACAAAGGAGTTCATTACCCATTGCTATGCTGCACGCTTAGCCTCTTAAAAGTTTTAACAATTAATTTATATGTAGTTTGTTATAAACCAGAGAGCATACAAGATAGACGGGAATATAATATAGGTAGACTTGAAAAGGGAGTTTAAGAAGACTTGCGCGATCAGATTAGCGTTAATAACCCCTGAGTAGCTGTCAAACGAGTCACCTGGAAAATTTAGATGCCTCCTAAGGCAAAAGAGTCCGGGAAATTTTTATACGGAGTCAGCGGTCTTGGATTTGGTCTTGCCGGCAGCTCGAACGAGGCCATGGACAAATCGACGGTCTAACATACCCTTATTCCCTCTTGTTTGCAATTTGGTGGTCTTGCCCTTGTCAAAATGCAAGTTTTCCCCCTTGGTATAATGAGAGCAGTGAAGAAAGCATAACGTTGCCTATTCTCCCAGAGAATCCCATGACGTAAGTTATATCATAAAAACTTGTATCGTCTGCAGCACAAACAGTACCGCGCGCCAGGCGTGTTCGAGCTCAGGCGGGAAGTACGCGCGGTATCCAAACAAATCGAAACGAAACGAAAGCTGCCGAATCCATGTGAGGATAGGTATAGATATGACTTCACAAACAAAGCGGTATCTGCGCAATAAGGGAGATGAAGCGTTTTGTTTCCATTTTCGTTATTCCTTCAGTTCTTGGAATTTGATATTTCCCACGGAACTTGCTCAAGAAAGTGCTTAATTATCTTTTCCGGAGAAGCTCGACCGACGTTGGCTATTTTCAACCTTGGTAGTCAAATATCTACGGCCATCTTACTTTTATTTTATTTTTATTTTTAAAATAGATTCTGAAGGGCCTTGAATGATTTAGTGGATCTATATATGACAAAGGTATCGAGTGCCTTTGCTTTTCTTTTACTCTTTGATTTTTTTTTCATCGAGGGTTCTCTTTAAATTTTCTCAGCTGAAAGAGTACAGGAAGGAGTGAAGGAATTGAGAAAGAAATGGGTGTGAGTGATAAAACTAAGTTGCGGTGGTGAGGGAAGAAAAATGTAATATTCTATTCTTTCGTTTGCCTGAACAAACTGAATTGCTTCCGTTTAGATATTTAGATTTCAATGGTGTTTTCAAAGGTTTTTCGAAAAAAGAGTCGCTGAACGGCTTGCAAGAGAAACATTTCCCCCTTCGCACTCTAAATCCCAAACGTGCTAATTTTTTTGGGACAATTATCAGGCCTGGTTACTGAGTTACTTTACCAACTGACACACGTCACGTGAATGTGTATGTGCGGCGAACAAACATGGTTTTTCCCTCTGAGATTGTCATAAGAATTTTTCTAATCCCTTTGGTTGCTGTGAGAGGTGAGGGAGCCTTGTTTTGTTGGTTATTAGCACGCTTCTTGTCTTAAGATGCAAAATCCAACCATTCCATTCCAAGCCTTGGGCATTACAGGTCCGAAATAGCTTGTACGATCGGAAGAAAATTTTACTCTTATACTTTCTGAACAGAAGCCAAACATCAACAGTATAACTTCTGATTGTTGTCCGAAGAACGGTTTCATAGTTTTTTGGGACAGTTTGAAGCCAGAATGTGTGTAGCGTGTGCTAATCGCCATGACTGAAAACATTCGATTACTTAGCACCTTCGCATGATAAACAGTATACTTCTTATTGTGATTTCCTGACTTGTTGAATTAAGCCACATTGTATATCAACTGAAGGGATGAATTTAACCATGTTTACAATTATGCTTGTAGGGAAGGGTGTGCTGAACCCAGATGGCAGTATTACCTTGCCGACTGAAAATATCACCGTATCTGAACACCAAAGTGACATGATCTTGACAGCTAACATCACCCTCCCAGATGATACCGCATCGGTCGGAAATGTCCTGGTGTACGTCTACACAGAAGATGATATTGGCGGTCGCCTCCTTTCTCACCCTGTGAATACTTCTGGCACCACTCGAGCCTCACCAGAAGCGCAGATGGTGCGCAAATTCAAGTTAGAGACGGCCAATGTTACTCTAACCTCTCAACTTACCAAAAACTCTACCACAAATCGGTTTAAAGTTCGAGCAATGTTTAAAATTGCTCTGTGTTGTTCGACGCTTTACCGACAGTCATTTATGATAAGAAAGATCCTTTTTGTTTTCACTTCTTACGGCCAAGATGATCGTCGGAATGAAAAGCAGTATTTGATTTTTTACTCAAAATCAGGTGAGATTTATTTTTGTTTAGTTGTGTTCCATATTTAGTAAGCTCAGTCCCAAGTAGTGCACCCGATGATAACTAATTTCTTCAGTTATAAAATACATGAAAAAATTATGCACATTTGATAGGTTGAAAACGAGTGCATAATAACATAATTTTGAGTGCAATTTGGTGTTAATATGCACAAGTTAATTTTCCGAAGAGTACGAATTTCCTTGCCCTATAGACTCATACAATTTTGTTGTCGTGGAAAAATTTACTTGTGCTTATTAACACCAAATTGCACTAAAAATCATGTTGTTACGTATTTACTACTCTAATCTGCTTTTTCCCTGGAAAATGTGGACAATCAAGTGCAAAGTATTGTTGGTTAGGAACATCAAAAAAGGTTGAGTGTCAGGAAGCAGATACTGCTTCCCAAAATAGCTTAGTTTGGATTACTTGTATATCATAGTGTACAAAATCTTGATACTTTTCCACCAAAACTGAGTTTGTTGATTATTTGCTTGTTTGTCTGATTTTTCTCACAGTTATTGTGCCTTCTCCACTAGTGTTGAGTAATGCGTCATCGGTTGCTCACAGTACTGTTAGGAAACCAATCTCAGGTATGCTGAATTGAGTTCTCTATTGTTTTTGTTGCAAAATTATCACTTAATATCAGGAGTGATCATCATATGGCCTCTCCTTACAATTTTATGTTAGGGGTTGTGACATACTGGTCAGTCATAAGTCAGTACTTGCCAAAAGAATTAGAAATAACTAGTAAATCAGAGAGGAGAAAAAGTGGAATAAGAAATATAATTGAACCTGATAATCTGTATTGATTATCAATAATCCAGTCTTGGTTCTCATGGTGTCATTTTTGAAAATATTTATTGGTTGCTTTTAGATCTGTAACCACTTTTTCCCATCAAACAAAGCAGTTGTATTGAAACAGTTTGACTTGATTCTGTAAATTAGAGCAGCTGCAAAGAATGATAGAGTTAAATAGTATAGTTAACAGGATTGTTAGGGGTTACTCTTTAAGGGTCAAAGTCCTCTTTGTTATCTGTTGTATGAACATCTGCATATTTAACTTAAAACCTCAATAATTAATAATATTTTCCCTTGAATATTTCTGATCAATTTCTTTTATCCTGTTTAACAGAGATAACACTGTTAGTGAGGCCTACATCTCCAAGTGTTGACATTAACATTCTGTTGGGTAGCTTAACCACCTCAGGTAGAGTTTATGGCAAAATTAATCTAGTCATTAGGTTAAATAACAGGCCTGCTATCAGTACCCTTTAAATTAAGACATTCTGTTGGGTTCTCCTCAGTGAACTTGGAGTTTATTTTAGGTTATTGGAAGTTATTTCCGTGTGGATGAAGCTTAGTGAGAAGTTTTGAACACTTTATTTTACACTAGTTGTATGACAAGAATTATCTTACTTAGAATGCCTACTCTTTTCCATGTTAGTGAAATTTTTTTTGTGAATGTTGGTTTTTTTTTCTTACAGTAGTTCCATCCCCAGTACGCTCTACAGTAGCTCTTTCCTCTTCAGTTGTTCGAGAGACTGATAAGCCACCAGTTACAGGTATGGTAAAATTATCTAAAGTGGATTTAATTTGCATTACAACTTCTACCCAGTAAGAGAGATTATATAGTCATTAAATGCATTCCAGGTTTTCATTCAGGTTTACGACACTAACTTAGACAGAAGGGTCATGAAAATTGTTGATTGGGAAAGTATCAACCCAAGAATTTTGAATAATGACAAACAAGAAACATGTGGTAGGCAGGGTGGCTTATCAGTGGTTCAGTATGATGAACTCTGGATTGAGAGGTCTGAGTTTGAGGTCCAATTGGTCATTGTGTTGTTTTCTTGGGCAATTTGCTCAAGAAGACTACACACTTTACTCTCATAGTATCTAACGTCTCCATCCAGGAGTATAAATGGGTACATTCAAACCTTGATTATCTAGACCTTGATAATCCAGATTTTTTAATTCACATTTTTCAATTATCTGGGACTCAAATAGAACATGATGTAAAGAAGCAATGTTGAGGCTATTTAATTAATGCTCTTCAAAGATTGATAGAATTAGCAACATGCAAACATTGTAGCAGCTTGAAACAAACCAAATTGTGTCAACATTTTAGATTGCAACATGTTTTAGGTAAGCTTTTGTTAATAACTTCATGAAAATTCTTCTGGAAGATGTTAACAATAATGAACAATGATTGAAATGATGTGTACTCAGTTTTGTTTTTGGCTCATCAATATTCATATTTTCAATTGCCTGGACTCTTGATTATACATCTCAGTCGTCACGAGTCGAAATAATCAAGGCTTAACTGCAATGGAATAATAACTTGCTGATAAAAATCTGGGGGGTTACATTCCAGTGGACCTTAATTTCTTCCTTTATTTTAAGTTATTGTCTAAAAGTAGGTAAACAACCCCATGAATGTGTTACTAAGTTTTCATTTCATGTCATTTCTTATTTTTTGGAACAACTAACATAAATGAGGCCATCATTGCTGCTCCTATTGTGGCTGTAGCATTAGTCCTAATAGTCTCATTATTGTGCTGTTACTAGAAAAGGAAGGGCAGAAAAAATGATGCCACAAAGACTGCTGTACAATCAGTGTCTAAACACAGTGTAGAAAATACTTTGGAATCCTCTGTTTGGAGGAAATGTATTAACATAGAGCAGCTTCTCCATCTTGCTTTAACCCTTTAACTCCCAGATCAAATTTGTCATTCTCCTGACTGTCAACCATGCAATTCTCATAATGTTAGTTCAAAGAATTTAGTATTGAATCATCTCATTATCCCCAAATTCATATTTTACTCGATTGTCATCTCTTATCTGGTTTATATTGTAAGAAGAAATTCTGTCTTGGTCACTCACGGGAGTTAAAGCATTAAATGCATATATACTTTTCTGAATCAGATAGGGTTGAGAAAGTATTCAATACTTTAACTTAAGGTACACCATCAAGTACTGTAAGGACTGCTATACATAGCGTGATAAACTGTTGACTTATCAAAGTGGCAACAAGAAAATGCATTTGACAGAAACTACCTTCATAAATGTTACAGACAAAACTTTGAGAGAAACTGATGAAAAATCAGCCTCGTTACTAGTACAGTAAAAACCCGCGTATAAGAACCTAGTGATTTAAGAACCTACAGGCTGAAATTTTGCATTTTAATACCCAAATATATAAGAACCTATTCAGCCTGACAAAGAAAAATAGGTTCTAATGTAAAAAAACACTCCAGATTTGATGTTCAAATTCTGGATTTTAATTGTGAAAATTTTTGTAGTGTACTGCTTTTTAGTCTTACCAATAAAATATTATTCATTCCATAAAACTCTGCTGTAGTTACAAATACAGTCACAAATACTGTGCAGTACACTGTATATACTGTAAATAGCTAGACATGTTTTGTTCTGTACAGCATGGATTTGATTGAAATTTGCATGGTGATCATACAACTGTAAATATGGTCAGGCCCATGATACAGGACTTGTTTCAACAACAAGGCTTGACATTTTTGTAAATGCTTTACAATTATAGCATATTAGTACTATTGTAGTTCCCCGAATCCTATCACTATAATAACTTTTGCAAATAAGAACCTACTAAGAACCTAATCAGCCTGTTATTGGAAAAAATACCTCAAAATATAAGAACCTGTTCAGCCTGAACTCCAAAATTCTAGGTTCTTATACGCGGGTTTTTACTGTACTGCTTGATATAACAGAAGCTTTCAACTTTCTTACTAAAACTGGGCCTTGAAGCTTCTGTAACTTCCTGGTTTAGTAGCTACCTATCCAGAAGATATCAAAGAGTACTATGCGAAGATTCAGTCTCAGAATTGTTACCCTTAACAAATGGAGTACTTCATGGATCAATCTAGGGTCTTGTCCTTTGTACTAGCTATTTAGATCAATGATTTAAACAGTGTCATTACCCACAGTCAACCTGCTGGGTATGTTGATGATAGTGAATTGCACTTTAAATTTTTGTATCAGACTCATCAAGTGTTATGGCAGTCGTAAACCAAGATCTTAGGAACATCAGTCAATGGTGTGCAAAGATTTCTCTACTTATAAGCCCTGAGAAGACAAAATTAGTGAATTAGTGGTTGTTGGCTCAGCACAACTTATTAAAATGCTACCTCATATCTCCTTATTCCTGTTAGGCAAAACTACCTATTTCGTTTGCTAACTAGAGGATCTTGGGGTATATATTGATCTCTATATATATGTACATATCACTAAAACAGCCTCTAGTTGTATGAACCAGGAAGTACAGATAAGTAGAATTCAACACCTTTTAGACAAGAAAACACTTTAATTACTTATGAATAGCTTTGTTTTCAGTAAACTGTATTATTGTTCTTCAGTGTGGGGGAACATATTTAAACATAATCTACACAAACTGCAGTTGTACAAAATTTTGCTGCCAGAGTTGTATTAGGTTTAAGGGAGTTTGACCATATCTCTCAGGGACGGGGATCTCTCAGATGGCTAAGCCCCTTTAGGGCTTGCCCCTCTAGGGCCTGGATCCTTTGGATCTTTGTATTGCTTTGAGCTTCCTTTCTTCTTTTCCTCTCTCACTCTGCTGTTGTGTTCAGCAAGTTTTTTTCAGCTGCGACATGCCCTGGGTCTTTATTTGGTTTAATCTTATTATTATCAGTTAAAGTCACTTGTTGAGCTCTACGAGGCCCAGCTGAAGGCTAGCTAGTGTTTCATTAGTCTTATTTTCTTTAGCATCCATTTTTTTTGTTGATATATGATTTAAGTTCTTATTCGAGTTCTCATGCAAGTACTTGAATAAGTACTTATGGAAGTTCTTATCCAAGTTCTTATTGAAGTCTCAAGAGAGTCCCTCACCTTCTCATTTTAAGTGAAGACTCGTGAATAAGAAGTATCACCCTCAATCAAAGATGTTTCAGCAGTTTCCGGTGCTTTATCTTGTCCCGTGTTCATTCTTGTCTATGGAATGTCTTCACCTGATGGCCCTGGAGTTGAATTATAATCAGGTTTAAAAGGTGTTATTGTATTTCCTTCATCTTCATCATCATCATCATCATCATGGTCATTGTGTTCCAAAAGAGGATCAGTATCTCCAAAATCAGCCACTTTCAACAAAATGTAAATTTTTCAAAAATGGGAGTCAGTGAATAACCAACCCAAATTTTGAGAAAAAGACGTTAAATGCCCTTAACACAAATTGTGCATTTCAAAGAGTAACATTCAATCCGAGACACTTAGGGTGCATTCCTTTGGAAGGATCTAGATTAGGATTTGAGATCCAAGATCACAGATCACGGTGCATGAAAGGATTGGAGTTTTAGATGAGCTCTCAGAGAATTCTAAAAGGCGAGCTATTTTAAGACTTGTGTATGCATGTGGGTTATTGAGCTCTTCCCTGAATAGCTCGTCTAACTGCACTGGCTTTTAGCACGCACAATTTTTCTAATGAGCACTATTCATTAGAAGCACACTTTTCATGGTAAACTCAAATGATGGAATTAAAACAGAAGCAAGTATTGATTACAATATGGATAATTGGGAAACCTGAATGCCAGTGATCAGTGGCTGATCAATTTAACATTACAAAATCTATTTTATTTCGTGTTTATTGCAGAATTTGTGGAGCAATTGCCAACAATCTTACTGGTCAATATATGAAGTACCTACTTGTTTGAAGTTGAGCACCACTGGGCAGAATGATTAATGCCGGATCCTTCGCCCAAAGGAATATGTTGGATCAATGATCCAATGATCCGTTTTTAGCTCACGCAGATCAGTGATCCGATGAATCCTTGTCTGGAGAGGATTTGATAGATCACTGATCTGAAAATAGATTTTCTTGTAAGGAGCGCCACAGATCAGAAATCCTGATCCGAATTCTCCCAAAGGAATGCACCCTGAGAGTCCCAGTTCAAAAGCTTGATAATGGAGATGTCCTTGTGCCAGAATCTCTTTTACTCATCTTTGACTTGAAAGTTAAGGGCCATGCAAACAGTTACATCGTGAACAATGTCTCAAGAGCTCTTGTTGACAGGTTGACTGTGAAATTTGCAGGAGAAATCATGCTGGAAACTGATGGTCATGATCTATTTAAGCTCTATGAGGACCTTTTCTTGACTGAGAATGAGAGGGTGAGCATGTTCAGAGAAGGTATTCAGTCTGTTGACCTTTCGAAGATCAGTTGCAGTGCTGGGGATAAGAAGAAATCAGGTGTTGCCAAAGAGAATAAGCTCAATGATGTTTATCAGAACAAACATAGGATCCATTGGATCCTGAGATTCTTAAAGATAATGGAGCCTTCTTCCAAGAGCTCTTTCTGATGAGCTTCTCTTTGAGCTCAGGCTTGCACCCGCCGGCAGTGTTGTGATAGAATTCGACAAGGCACCGTTTGCATATGAATTGGCAAATATCCAGCTTAAGTATGAAGTCATTCACAGTAAAGAACTCACTGATGAGACCTTGTCTAACCACGAAAATGGAAAGAGATTCATATACGAGCATGTCACTCATCTCAAGACAATCTCTGTAGGTGAGGGATCAGACACGATCATCAGTGAGAGCATCATTCAATGTTCTAAGGAGGTCAATGAAAGGACTTCTTCTTTTTCTCGTGGTCCCCTTTTTTCATGAATATTAATTCTCACATTGGAGATCTGTAACCACTTTTCAAATCAAACAAAGTAGTTGTACTGAAACAATTGACTCTATTCTATAAATTAATGCAGCTTCAAAAAATGATTGAATTAGTTAGTTTGTGTAATTAACAAGATTGTTAGGGGTTACTCTTAAAGGTTTTAAGTCCTCTTTGTTTTCTGTTTTATGAACATGTGCATATTTAACTAAAAACCTCCAAAGTTATTGATTTTTTTTCTTGAATATTTCTAATAAATTTATTTTCTCCTGTTTAACAGAAACAACAGTTTCAGTGAGGCCCCCACCCCCTTCAGGCAAGTCTCAATGGGATGGGAAGTTGAGGCTTTGCAAGGGGAACAAAGCCAGAAAAGCAGCAGAGCACATACCAAAAAACACATGGCAATATGCCCATACTAACCTCCCTTACGCCCACTCATCATATTGGTGAAAGCACCAAACTGATATGGTTTTTAACCCGCTTACTTCAATTGCATCCAGCACCATTAAAACATGTGTAGACATTCACAACTTTTGTTTTTACTCCTCTCAGTAAAGGGTGGTTTTAACAAATGAAAAACCCTCCATATCAGTTATCATTGATAGTTGTACTAGAAAGTAAAAGAACAGAAAATATTTTAACTCTCTGTTTCATCTCTTTATAGGTAATGGAGCTTTGGTGGCATTCATGGTGGCATTCACTGTGACCATGGTACTTTGGTTTGGAATTATTTAATTTTCTCTCAGGAGAAATCCACAAGAAGATAATCTTTAAATGAATAAAAGTTAATAATATGGTCCAATATGATATGGACCAATTGGTAAGTGTTTTTTTTTTACTCCAGGTATAAAGTGAGAAGCAAACAAGTTAAGTCAGGGGTACAAATAACACATATATTTGATACTGTCTGACAAGCGATATTTTAACTTGTATATGTTATCGCAAGCGTTTGGGTTAGGAAATCAACTAGCTAGTAAAATTACAGTTGTATTCCAGGCTTTCTTAATTACCATCAAGCTTTTTAAGCATCTCAGTTATTTCAAATAATCTTTTCGCAACCCCCACTTATTTCATTCAAACGTGTAAAAAACATAGGCAATTTTTTAGTCAGGAGTTAATTTCAAACCACTGACCAATCTGGAACTTTTAAATGCGCTCGTTCACGGTGCAAAACTTGTCCTTTCATTCATAACGTAGAGAAAATATCGGGACTCAAGAGATCCATTAAGATCATTGATCACTTTACGTGTACCTCCGCCAATGTTATATACTGCATAACTTGCACTTATTGCAATAAGTTATACATCGGCGAAACAGGAAGACGACTAGGTGACCGATTCCGAGAACACCTTCGGAACGTGGAAAGAAATGACAAGGACGCATCCAAACCAGTCGCTAGACACTTTAATCTTCCTAATCATTCTAAACAGCATATGGTAGTTTGCGGCCTTTCCTTACATCTAGGCAGTTCGGAAAGCCGTAAAACACTAGAACAAAAATTTATCTTCCAAATCGGCACCCTTAATCCCCACTGAATCAACGAGCGCTTTTCATTCAACTAATTTATTCCTGTTTTCTCGTCACCATATTCCCACCAATGGCGTAGCTCCACTTTCTGCATATAAACCCACCCACAACCCACAATTCCTCCAATCGCTCCGACGAAGGGCTAACACTCGAAACGTCAGCTTTTTTACCCTTTACGGTGGCTAATTTACGTTTTCAACCCGGTTGTTAACACTAAATTACCTGCTATACTCTACCACCGACGCAGCACCACAGTTTCTTTAGAAACTTACCCCTTTATTATGTTGGTCTGTCTGCCTACCCACCTACCTGTCTGTCTGTCTGTCTTTAATTTATATCATTATTATTATAATTATTATTATTTATTTATTTATTTGCCCAATCCACTGACCAACCTTCGCAAAATGGAAGGCTATAATAGGAAATGGAATATTTTTATGAAAGTATCCTTCCCCATAATTACATCATGGAACGACCTCGCCTCTTTCCATAAGATCACCAACAGCAGCTCTTCTAACTTGTAGTCCAAGACTAAGTATTTTTAAGGTAAACAAATAAATGATACAAAGAAAATAAGAAATAATAATTATACAAGTAAGACTTGTAGATATGCAAGTAAATTATGCAGCATAGATCTTAGAGTAATTTTGAACGGAATGTCAATAGCGCCACTTTCCCAAAAAGTTAGATGATCATAAAACAAAATCAGGCAGTGATTTATCAAGACTGGTCCCTTTGGTAGTCATGCGCATTTTCCAACATCAAAGTCGGTCTTACGCAATTTTACAACCCGCTTTGAGTTCTAATAGACACCTTGTGATATTATCCTGTGTATTGATTGTCCAGAGTGAGAACTTGGCTTGTTGTTTTTACGACATTCCATAGAAAAGAGGTTCTTAAATTTAATGTTTTTTTTTCTGGCGAATTTTTAGCATTTATTTTTGTCGTTTTGTAATTAATGTTTAAGAATAGAGAAAAATAGAATTAGAGAAGCCGCGTAATTCCCTAGATGGCCAACATTGTGCCGATGTCAGCCCTCGGCTGTAACTATGTATAAGTATTAAAGATGATTGTACTACTAAGTGCGAAGAAACAATTTGTCAGTAGCGAATTTTCCGTCTTTTTGTTCAAACGAATAAAGTGAAATCACTTCTTGTGCGGTTGTTACTGGTTTGAACTTTTTCCCTAAGGCTGGTCTGTTGAAGAAAATCTCAGTAATAAGTCTATGGCTTACATAATTGTATAAGGTTTTGGGTGGGCCCTCAAACTGGTGTTGGTGAAGAAGAGATTATCCAATAGGTAATGTCGCGTACCCAAGTGTTGGGATTACGTTGAGTGTCAACCACATATACACATCCGTCTCATTCCAGTTTTTATTGAGTACAACGTGTTACAATGCGGTGAAAACTAAAAGGAAATTTATGATTGCGTAATCAGAAATGATTCTATGGAAATTACAAATGAATGTAACGATAAAAAAGGCGATTAAATTTACAAAGGAAACTCACGTTTGATCCTGCGTAAAAAGGGTAAAAGAAACTCCGTGGGAAAGTGACTCCAGTTACTCCGAAAACTCCAATAACTCCGATAGAAAACTCTAGATGGATATACTCCGACAACTTACTCCGACACTCCGATATGTGATACTACGGAGATTATGTAAGCAACAGGCTTTAAACATGATAGGCGGCTAATAACACGATCAAATACGCTCTGATAAATGATTAAAAGAATGAACAATGAAACGATAATAGAATTTAAACGATAGTAAATAATCACACAAAACAAAACAGTTCAGTTCATTTCAGTTCAGTTCGCTTGCTGAACGTTCGTCACAGGTAAACTACAAGATGTCCCTGACTTTGGGCAAATTGCCTCGCGCGAGTCAAAACTTAATCGGCGGGAAAAGGCGCACGCATTCGATTGTTGCGGGTCGTCGATTAGTTTTTCCAGGTCACAGGTAAATTGCCGCGAGTTGTGAATCAAAAACAAATTATCCATTAAATCAAAGGGTAATTTGAACCACTGCAAATTACAAATCTTTCTAGAGTAAGGCTTGAGTACATAATCGAACCACACTTATAAATCCATGTTGTTAACCAAGAGAGACGGTGGGGCTAAAAGAAGTACAGTTGAGCGTCGAAGTGGGTGGGAAACAGCTGAGGCCCTATTCACTTTGAGAAAAGAGGTTGGTAGCCGTTGTAGGGAGATGGCCATGAGTAAATGTATTCGCAGGGAGAAAAAGGTAATGTAGTGGAGAGTTCACCGTTGCAGACAGGTGGCCCTTCGCAGAGTTTCCCCATCAGCCTTTGACACAAAGGATTTCATTGCCCACTACTATGGTGCACTTAAGCCTTTAATTTGTTATACTACCTGAGACTAGGATAAACTGTTTTAAATAGTGTTAACAGAGACGTCCACTTTTGTTTATAGTCCACCACTTTCACGTGTCACGAACATGTCGAAGCAGATGACAGAACTTACCAATATAACACAGAGTTTTGAAATAGAAGATAACCCAAAACTTCGTTCATCCAGAGCGCGATGGCATTATCCTGTGGAATTTTATTAAAAAAGGAAGCCCAAAGTGTTTTTAAAACCGCTTATGGATCTCAGTGATCACAAATTTAGAAAATATCAGGGTAAAAAAAAATCAGTAATCAGTGGAAATAAAATTCACGGGGATAATCTCTAAGTAGCATTGGAAAAAGGTTGCTTTTGGGGGAATCGTGAATTTCTCAAGGGCTATAAATATTAATTAGGTTCAGAGACCTGAGAACATCGTTTGCATAATAGATTATACCAAGAGATACGAGATAGGTAGACTTAAAAGCGGAGTTTAAGAAGCCCTGCGCGGTCAAACTAGCGCTACTAACCCCAGGGCAGCCTTCGCACAAGTCCTCTGAAAAATTTAGAGGCCTGCTAGGGCAAAAGAGTCGGAGAAAGTTTAATATAGAGTCAGCGGTCTTCGGTTTCATCTCGCTGGTAATTTGAACGTTTACGGTCTTACATACCCCTATTTCCTCGTGTTCGCAATTTGGTGGTCTTGCCCACGTCAAAGTGCAAGCTCCCCTCCTTGGTATAATGAGAGAGCAGTGGAGAAGGCAAAACCTTGCCTATTCTCCCAGGGAAACCCATGACGTAAGTTATATCATAAGAAATGTTATTGTCTGCTGCACCAACAGTACCGCGCGCCAGGCGTGTTCGAACTCAAGCGGAAAGTACGCGCGGTGTTCGAACAAATCGGTCAAGCTCCCCGCGAGAGTTTGTCTCAAAGGAAAACTGCCGAAACTATGTGTGATAGGTATAGATATGGCTACACAAACAAAGCGGTCCCCTCGCAGTGAGGGAGATGAAGCATTTTTCATTTTCCTTATTCTTTCAGCTCATCGACGATTAAATCGGACAAGTCTTTGATATTTCCCACGGAGCTTGCTCAAGAAAGTGCTTAATTTCTTTTTTCGGAGAAGTTCGACCGAAATTGGCCATTTTCAACCTTGATAGTCAAAGATCTTCTGCAACCTTGCTTTTCATTGTCTGTTTTCATAATAAATGCGGAAGAGCCTTCAATGATTTGGTGGGTCTATTACAAAGGGATCAAGTACCTTTATTCTATATTAATTTTTTTATTCTTTTTTATTCTTTTTTTTTTTTTTTTCAAGAAAATTGAAAGAGGGGTCTCTTTTCTAATTTTCTCAGTTAAAAGATTGCTAATTTCTCTTGCCATCTTTTCCTGAAGAGTGACAGGAAGAAATGAAAGAACTGAGAGAGAACTGGGTATGAGGGATAAAACTAGGCTGGGGGTGGGGAGGGAAGAAAAATGTAATATTCTATTCTTTCGTTTGCCTACAAAAAATGAATTGCTTTTATTTAGTTATTTAGGTTTCAGTAGTGTTTTTTTAAAAGGTTTCCGAAAATAAAGTCGCTGAACGGCTCGCAAGAAACCATTTCCCCCTTCACACTCTGGTCTCTCCCCCACCCCCAACGTGGTTGACTTCTCGTTCACACATTCGCATCACATGTATGTACCTTGTAATATCCACAGCCGCCTGTGTTACGTGAATCAGTGGAGAAATCATGCATTTGCTATCTCTGATAGTCATACCTATTTTTCTCTTCCCTTTAGTTACTGTGAGAGGTGAGGGAACCTTTTTTGTCGGTTATTTGCTTGCTTCTTGTCTTTAGGATGCAGAATTCCAGAATTCTGAATGTCCTGGGCATGGCAAGTTAGAAAATGGCGGCATTTTACAACTAATAATGTGCGAGCGATTGCGCTAATAAGGTCGACAGGTTGCGCTTCATCTTATTAAGCACGGTGGTTTGCCATCATTCATTGGTTTGAACACAGCTGTGATTAGCACATTCCCATCCCTGTTGTTTTAGCGAAACATTCCCTTAGCGATCGGCTGTCGTACGGCTCTCTGTTTTTGTGTTTCTTGATCGTAGGAATCCATGCTTGTACCAGAATTTCTATTCCACTGTTCCTGTTGAAATTGTTAGGGTTAATCGTCTCTTTGACCCTGTGTGTGTATCAGTCAGTATTAAGATCTGATACTTTCATGCAAAACAAAACAGTTTATTAAAGAAGGCAAATGTTGAATCGAACGGCAATGATATCTTCAGCCATCTTGCCTTTCGTTGTTTATTTCATAATAAATGCTGAAGGGCCCTAAATTATTTAGTGGATCTATTATGATTGAGTATGATTATGATTATGCTGACTTATGCAGGGTGATTCTTCGGCCAAATAAGAGATCGATTTGGCTTTGTTGACTTACTGAGGGTTGGTTTAGCTGGTTAGAAGCTATCTAGCCTATTTACCAAATGTACCTTCGATCAAAACTGATTGAACTGTATTCAAGGCATTTGGCTGATTTCCCACATGAGAAACAGAACATGGTTTACTCACTTTCGGCTGCTGTTGAGTCAGCAATCTTGCTTGTCAACTACTTATCTTATCGCTGTTTTAATGATAGATTCATACCAGGCTGTGTTATTTTCTCACTTTCATGACAAGATTAAAAGGGAGATTGTATTGTAAAAATGTATCCCAATCAAAATGTTAACATTAAGGTGGTATATCTTTTACTCTTTTCAGTGGCAGGTAATACAAATCACAGCAACACAGGAGGAGATCAATATGACTTGCATCAATGTAGTAAGTGATGCACTTGTAGTAAACTTTTTTTGAGCTTAGATCATATTTCGATGACAACATAAAAAAAGTTTGTTGAATTAACATTATGTCTTAAGTTGGTATGCTAGTTGCAGGTCTAAGATGTTCCATAATGTGGGTACTTAAATTTGAAAAGAATGCTCTCTGAAAGAACTATTAATAGTATGTATACTTTCTAACTGCAGTTTTTTTTCAGTCTCTCAAGTCCACTGGTGTTAATTAGACCTAGGTGTGAGCCGTACTCATATGTGACAGAGCTTTGGCACAAGTTGATTTTCTGACAAAGGGTGTGACACCACAGGCATCACCTAATGAAAAGGGGAGAGGGGGGTGAAGTATGGGGGCATTCTCAGACGAAAATTAGTGAGAAATTAATTATATAATTAGTAATTATATATATCAATGCACTTACTGGTAACTAAAGCAGCAGTTTGCTATCTCAAAATTAACAGTTTAAATCCAAAACCTTAAATGAGTGAGAAATAATGGCTTCAGCAGGAGAGCATAAGATTGAATTTGTTCAAGTGTCTCAGTCTCGTGCTCAATACATGAGACTTGGAGCTCTGATGTAGGCACTCTGTGGTCTCTAGAAAGGACTCATTATGATTAATTAGACAAAGACTTACTAGGCAAATGATAGATTTACTTGCCACTGACCAATTTTATGCGTGATCTCATTTTAATTTTTTTTTTTGGCTTGTGGAGTTGAAAGTTAGTATAATTGTGAGCTCAGTAAAAGGTTGATGATATTTATCACTCTGGCCACTATTGAGTTCAAATGGACAAAATACTGCATTTTAAAATTATCTCAATAGTCAGGTACATTGAGAGGATACTATTTCCAACTAATTAATTCATCTGGAATGAGGATTATTTAAAAAGGATTGATGAAATTATGTTTTAAAAAAAATTGTTTTGTTAATCTTCTTTAGTTTCTGAAGAATACATCAATCTCAAAGAAGGGAAGTCATTCCAAATTTTTTGGAGGAGATCATCCCTGGAATCCTCCAAAGGTGAAGAGTTTCGTGGTTATCGCCTTGCAGTAAATTCAGTGTTCATTGCTTACATGCCCAAATATTCCTTAAACATGACATGCATCACATTTATTAACGATCCAAGTTGGAAGGAATTCTGCCACAAGAGATTAGAATTCTGTAGCAACACAACACATATTCTACTAATTTTGAGAAATATTTCAAGTGATGAACATTGGGACTTCACTCTGACACATGTGTTGAAGAGCACATCGGCCTGTAATCCTCAAGACATCAAAATCGTCAGAGGTTGGTAACTGAGAATGTAGTGGAAGATAATAATAACAGCCTTGATTATGAATGAAAGACATTCATGTGCACTATGTTTGGTCTAGCAATATTGCCATGTACACCCATAGGTCCTTCATTTGTGAGCTGATTTCTTAACTTTCCTTTCATCCGATTGATTTTTGTTGTTAGTTATAGATTTAAGTTAAAATTGAGAGCTAAAGAGAAGAACCTGGTCCACTCTGGTGCTAGCTAATTTCTTCAATAATATGCTTTTGCAGAAGAGTATGATTATTTTTTTTTCTATCCTTTTCACCTCCACTTTTTCTCTTGAAAATCTTAAGAAACAAGTGCAAAGTATTGTCAGTTAGGAACATTACAAAAGGTTGAGTGTCTGAGAGCAGATACATCTGCTTCCCAAAATAGGTTACTTGGATTACTTGTGTCTCATTTTGTACAAAATCCCAACACTTTTCCACCAAAACTGAGTTTGTTTATTATTTGATTGTTTGTTTGATTTTTCTTGCAGTTATCATGCCTTCCCCAGTGGTGTTAAGTACTGTATCAGTAGTTCCTCACAATACTGTTAGGACACCAATCTCAGGTATGATAAAACTATTTGAAGCAAAATCATTACCATCAGGAGTGATCATTAGATGGATTGGGCTGACTCTTCACAAATTTAAACAGGGGGTAATGACAAAATGGTAACTTTAATTTTCTTGACAAGCAAATTATAGCCTTGTAAGGAAACGAGAGTCAACAATTTTTTTTTCTTATTTTCCTTCACTCCATTATGTTTAAATGATTAGTATAATTATATTGAATAAGTCATCTATGAGAAAAATGTTACAAAGATCTTAGCTCCAAATAATCAGAAAGGAGAGAGGCACATCCAAGGGGTGGTACTTATTAATTATCAATGACAAAAAATACTTGCTAATTAAAAGAAATTCCTAGAATATAAGAGAGGAGAAAGAGTGAAAAAGAATACAGTTGAACCATTGGAGATCTGTAACCACTTTTTCCCATCAAGCAGTTGTGCTGCAACAATTTGCCTTTATTCTATAACTTAATGCAGCTTCAAAGAATGATAGAATTAGGTAGTTAGTACAATAAACAGGATTATTGGGGATTACTCTTAAACCTTACCACATTCAGATCTGATAGTCAGTTCTCTCCTCTAGCTGTTATACATTTCCTAGTATATTAGTTATTCAAATTTGGTGTTAAATCAAGATATTAACAACTTCTACCTGATATTAATTTGAGTATTCTCATTACGTGTTTGTGGGATAATGTATGGATAATATAGGGAGAAGTTACATGCTAATCACTTCTAGGAGTCAAAGTGTTAAGGGTTAAAGTCTTCTTTGTTATCTGTTATATCGAGATTTGCATATTTAACTAAAAATCTCAAGAATTTTAATTTTTTTTCCTGAATATTTCGTGATCAATTTATTTTCTCTTGTTTAACAGAAACAACAGGTTTAGGGAGGCTTATAACTCCAAGTGTTGACATTAACAACCTGTCTGGTAGCTCAACAGCCTCAGGTAGAGTTTATTGGAAAATTAATCTAGTCATTGGGTTAAATAACAGGCCTGCTATCAGTACCCTTTGAATTATCCTGCTTAGAATGTTGAATATTTTCCATGTAACTGAGATGTTTTTTTTGTTAAATAATGTTGTTTTTTTCTTACAGTGGTTCCAACCCCAATAAGCACTACCTTAACTGGTTCATCTTCAAGTGTTCAAAACACTGCCAGGCCACCAACTACAGGTCTGGTAAAATTATGTTTAGTAGATTTAATGTTCATCACAACCTCTGACTAGAAGGGTAATGAGAATTGTTGACTGGGAAATTATCAACCCAAGAATTTGAATGATGATTCAAAAGAAACATGTGGGAGATGGGGTGGGGTATCAGTGTTAGAACATTGATCTCCAGGTTGAGAGGTCTGGGTTTGAAGCCTAATTGGTCATTGTGTTGTGTTCATGTGCAATTTAATTTATCCAATTAGGCTTGACTGTAATGGAATAATTTGTTGCTAATAACTTTCTCCCCTATTTTAAAAGATTGTCTAAAAGTGTTTAAATAATCCTGAAAATAATCCCATGAACGTGTAACTAAGTTGTTTTTTCATATCATTTCTTATTTTTAGGAACAGGCAACAGATATGAGGCTATCATATCTGTTCCCATTGTGGTTCTTGCAGTATTAATAGCATTACTGTCTTGGTGTTGCTGCAAAAGAAGCAGAAGACAAAGTGATCCTGAAAACATTGCTGTGCAATTAGATTCTAGTGAGTCAACAGTGTAGAGCCTAAGGAAATTACTTCCCTTGTTTAGTGAGAAATGTATTTACATATAGCAGCTTCTCCATCTTGCCTTAAGTGCAAGTATGTGTTTCTGAATCAGACAGGGTTGAGAAATTATTCAATACCTTAACCCTTTAACTCCTATGAGCGACCAAGACAGAATTTCTCCTTACATTACCAGTAAACTATCAACCAGATAAGTGATGAGAATAAAGAAAAATATCAATTTGGGGATAGTTAGTTGATCCAATACTAAATTCTCTGAACTAACATTATAAGAATTGTATGGTTGACAATAAGGAGAATAACAAATTTGATCTGGGAGTTAAAGGGTTAACCAAGATACACTGTGAGGACTGTAATACATTGCAGGAACATGTTGCAGAGACAAATCCTCTTGAACTTTGTGCATAAAAGCAAGTGACACAAATTGAAACTGGTTTGCAATTGGATTTGAGCATTTCATGGCAGTTTTCAAATGGGCCATACATGGACCTCAAATTTAAAAGCTGTACAATTTGTTGCAGTGACTTCTTTAAGTGTCATGAAGGATTATACTTGCTTTATTTAACTTTCATTTATTTATAATTGAATGGATGAATTATTGTACTTTGTATGAGTATTAGACTATGAAGCTTTGTTTTGTTGGTATGATAAAGATTTGGGTTTTTGAAACAATTCTTTTTTCTGCAATTTAAATGGAATTAATGGGAAAGTTTCAATTGGTTTGCTTGAAAAGTGAGAGTAAGGTTATGAATGAATTTTTGTTCTTATTCAATTATGTGTTTCTGCAAAAATAAGCTATGAATATTAAGAATGCTTTTAAAAAGCTTCTAGAAAAATAGAGTTATTTAACGTGAAAGAGTGATACAAATTAGTAGTGATGATGATAATAACATTTTATATATGTAGCATTATTTCTATTGCTATTCAATAGCACTTTACAATAACTTGAAAGTCCCAACTGGCAGGAGGCAAACCAGGTGGTTATTTACACAGCACAGCCAAGGGGTTGAACTCAGGGCGACCAAAAACATATCTAGTGAATGGCAAGGTGAAGGACTTGAAACTGGGACCACCAAATTACAAGTCTGGGGCCCTAACCACTCGGCCACACCACCTAAAATGTTTAACAGCCAAATGGTTGTTAAGAATTTTCCCTTTGCCAAATACAATATCCCAATTAGGATTAGAATAAAATATAATATGGTTTGGATTGAATAGGAAATTAAATTCTCTTTGTGTGATTGCTACAGATTGGGAATATTTTAGGGAAAAAAATTTACAAGGGCAGGAATGAAGTTAGTGAATTTATAGTGAAAATTGTAAGGGATAAAAGGGTCTGGAGAAACTGATCTTATCAACCTGTTTCAGTACTATTGATATCTGTAAGAAGGTTTTTTAGTTTTTTAGATGCATTGACCTTAATATGACAAAATTCCTTCTTCATGAGGGGTTTTTTGTTTTTTGGTCATGACACCTACTACAGGTAGCCCTAGCTCATACAATGAACCCAATATAGTGATTAGTATGTATATATGTTTATGTGGCACAAAGGGTGAAGATAAAGGATTTGTATGGGAATGGGGTTAAAGTCTGATGATCTAGTTTTTAATAAAATAGTTTCTTACTTACATTTGTTCTTTTGCATTTTGTTAGTTTTCCATGCTGACTTACAGAGGTTTATGTACCAATCAGTTTACAGCTTCAACATCCACAACTCCAAACCCCCCCCCCCCCTTCTTTTCCATGCTCCCAGGAAATTTGAAGCAGCGGGAAAACATGAGTGTTGATTTTAAATATGGAGGATTTTGAAGGTAAAGAGTCAGCTTCCAGGGTCATTTAAGCTCCAATTTTCTTGACCAAATCCTCAAAAGTTCAAATTTGCAGAGGGTTGCCCAGGAGAAAAGAGGGGGGGTGTTTGAGCTTCTACTGGATCAACTTATTGGTAATTTTCTGCTCTCCTCCTAATAGAGGGCTTTGTATGTGATGCAATGACCAGGAAACACATTGCAATCACATGAGGTACTATCTCTTGTTTGGTTTTTAACAGTATATCTGTAGTGTAAGTCTGTGCCAGGATCTAGCGGCTTATGTGGTGTCACAGCTTGACAATATCCTCTTCCCCTAGTACATAGTAACTAGACAAGTATTAATGCTTATCTTCCTGGACAGGTTGTTAATTCTAGAGAACTACCCCAGTGTTTCAATAAGTTACCTTTCTAACCTCTAAGAGTAATTGGCACCTAAAATCTCCACTGAATCAAACATTAAGGTCATGACAATAAAGGAAAAGGTCACCAACTAGAGAGGCTCTTGGTAGATGAACAAATTCTCCCTGTTAGCACCACAGAAACGTATACAGATCAGTACAGAGAATATGGATACCCATGATAGGGTGGAGAAGGTTAAGTTTGCCTGACTGGGTGCTGGTATACATTTATTTTCCTGGAGGAAGGCACTGTTACAGGAGTGTCTCCTTAAAATAGAACTAAAAAAAACTGGCCAATTATTGGCTCAAGCTTGGACCTTTTGACCCAGAGCCTTGCATAAGGCTATTCTGGGGCCTGGGTGAATCTTGCTATTTGATAAAAGAAATTAATATTTCTTACTTTTATTAAGATGACTTTTTCTTAAATCGGATAGGGGTATCTTTGTATAACTTAGGAGGAAATGTCAACACATGCATTCCTCTACGCTCATAAGTGCTACTCTCCCAGTGGTTTGGAAGTAGGTTGGATAGGTGAGGACTTGACATGGAATCATTTCCAGAGCATGGACATGAAACTGATGAATCTTGGAGCCTACACAGGCAAGCCCTTCACTGGATTAGGAAAAACCACCCAGTGCCATCACCCCACCTCCCCCTAACCAGATTAATCTATTCAGGTCTCAAATGGGCTAAAAAAAAACAAATTAAAAATTACGCAAAATAAGCAAAGTTTATTTTCCAATGCAACTACTTATCGTAATACCACAAACAAAATAGGAAAACATTTTATTTTATTACATCTCCACAACTACAATAGTGTCTCCTGCTAACAATACTTCTCCTAATTGTTAGAACACAGTTATCTGTATAGTTTACATCAAAAAAGCCATATTTGTTTACATCAAACTTGATATATAAAAATACACTCTCATTGAAACTATACGACACAGCACTTGTATTTTCCATAAAAGGATAAAGCTTATTCTGACTCCACTCACACGAGACGTTCAATGTGATAAGTTTATTGAGGATGAGTCAGTCAGTATTCTAGTAAATGCATTCTGTGCACATAAACAACCACTAAAAACACAATCAGGATAGCAACTATGATTACAGCAAAAACCACCCCGATGATGACCACATAATTTGTGCTACCTGTAATCACAAAAGAAAAAAAAAGAAAAATTTAAAGAATGAAAATTACTATTAATGATTAGATGACTGAAATAATTATTAAGATTTTATAAATAATTATGTGTTCAACTTGGTTGATTTATTTGGATATATTAACTGAGATTCACATGAAATAAACGCATTCCAGATGACCTTTCAGCTAAATTAATAAGCACATACTTCATGGATGCATTGATTAACAGACTGACTAAGTGACTGACAAATGGATAGATTTTCCAATTTAAAAGCATCATTCATGACAATTTTATATATCTTGTATACGAGAACCCAAATTTGACATATTTTATGTCTATTTGAAAAAAAAAAACTACTAACAGTACCTGAGTGTATATTAATTTATGATATATATATATAGCTGCCTCATGTTTAAGAGCAGCTTAGTAGTTAACTAAGTGAAACTAAATGTGTGAATGGATTTTTAGATAGACTGAATCAGTTTTAGACCCAATATAATGGAGCTTAAGCTTCACACTCCATCTTCTCGTTACCCATTAGATACCTAAATTGAATCATTAATTTTTCCTCCCAGCTGCATGAATGATGCCATTTTACCTTCAGGAACTGGTTCCTTGGAGCCTGAACCTGTAATGGTTGGAACCTGTGTAGCATTTGGTTTACCTGCAATAATGAAAATGAAGTCTGTAGCATACATGCTAAGTAAAAAAGAGGAAAAGGGTCGCACTTGTAAGCCTTATTAGATTCTAACTGTAGCTACCTCATGTTGTATAGTAGCTTAGTAGTAAACTAAGTGAAATTAAATGTGTGAATCAATTTGCTGATGCACTGAATTTAAATTTCAAACCCAACATGATGGAGCTTAAGCTTCACACTCCATCTTCTTTTTGTTAACCATTAGGTACCTAAATTTAATCCTTAATTTATCATTCCAGCTGCATGAATGATGCCTTTTTACTTTGAGAACCTGTACTGGTTGTAACTGTTGTAGCCTGTGTTACCTTTGGTTTACCTGCAATAAGGAAAATGAGAAGTCTGTGGCATGCATGCTATAGTAAGTAAAAAAAGAAAGAAAGAGTCATACAAGCCTTATGAGATTCTGGCTGCAGTGAAACCTCCCACCAGTCAAGGCATTGAGTGGGATGAATCATAACTATATTATAATTATGTGACTCTTGTTGTCATTTTACATTTAGAACAAATTAAAGCAAGAAAAACTGTATAATTAACAGTGTGCTAAATTTACCTCACAAAAAAAGTTTTTTCAGCAAAGACACTATTTGTAACTTAATTATATTCTTCTAGAGTATTTCCTTATCACATACACCGTTTTACCTGAAAAAAACTGTTCTGTAGGGCCTGAGTCTGTCTTAACAGTTGTCACCTTTGTTGGCTCTGGCTTATCTGCAATGATGAAAAAGCAAGTTTGTGTCATCACTGTTTATACATTATGTTACAATGTAGCTGTTCACCTTTTTAGTAAACAGATACAAAAAGTTCAAGTTGGAAGTTATATGATTCTACCATATGAAATGTCCTAACCTAAAGCAATGAAGGTTATTTTTTATAACACAAATTCCTTATCCTATACTCTAATTTTTTTCTTCACTGCGATATATGAGCCCCAATTTACTTGGTTGGACAATCACATTTCAGTTGCACAATCACTCAATTTAGCTCAGCATTAATTTCTCAGGTCACTGTCAGGGCCACAGTCACTAAGCTTGCACAAACCTTTAATACAATTTTGAGGTATTCAATAAATAGCTACATGCAGACAAGGATGCTCTTTAGATATGTACCCTTGGCTGACTGAGATATATGCACATCCTGAGGTATTTTATTTAAAACAATGCAAGAGGCAAAATTAACCCATTAACTCCCAAGATCTGATTGTTAATTCTCCCCTCTAGCTGCTACACATTTTCTTGTAAATTGGTTATGAAAAACATTAAATTGTAAATTGGTTATGAGAATTTGGTGTTCAATCAAGGTAACATCTTGTACCTGATATGTTCAAGTATTCTCACTACCTGTTTGCTGGATAATGTATGGATATTATGGGGAGAAGTTACATGTTAATCACTTCTAGGAGTTAAAGTGACTTTACCTTCAACAGTCAGTACAAAACTCTTCAACGGTTGGTCTGTAGTACAATTGTGGTTAGATCCTAAGCAGTAAGGATATAACCTGTAATAGCCCTCCATTAACTTGGTTACCGCTCTTAGGGTGATATTTAGTGTGTTATCTCCTGAATGTCTAAGAAGGTAATTTTCTTTGCACTCAGGCACCTCAGTGTAACAAGTTCCACTACCATCTTCTCCTTTTGAGAGCTTGATCAGGCGCAGTAAAGGAAAGCCTTTACCAAGGTATGTGTATGCAGCCTGTTGATTGTTAACTGAGACGTTGACCATTATGGTCTTTGTTCCACCTACAGGAACCGTTGAAGTATATCCAAATAAAATGTCATATTTATCATACACTAATACACTTCTTGAAAACCGAGGCAACTAAAAAGGATATTGAAACATATGTTGTTATTTTAACCTCAGTTTGTACCCAAACATTAGAAACTGCCTTTAAGTTGTTAGAGAATGAGTCAGTAACTTACCATTAGCTATAGCTTTAGAACAGGGTGGGAAATTTAGGCTTTTGACACTGTCAGTATAGTCACTGGGAGTTTAATTCTAAGTCAAAAGTGACTCTCTCTATAAGCCTTGTTTTGGCTGATAATGTCCTTGTGAATGCAATGAGGGGCTGATGTTTAAGGACCAAAAACATGCAAATCAGTCAATAGGTAAACTATAAACAGAAATGTATTTTTTCACTTGCCATAATAATCTGCAATACTCGGGTTGATAGCTCGTCCACATGTTGGTGCAGCTGTAAATTAAATGAAATATTGTGATTCCGGGGTCACTTGCAGTAAAAAGTATTTTCACTTTTTCAAGAAGTCTTAAAATCCGATTTTATGAAGAGTTGCCATGATGTAGCCTTCTTTAAAGATCCTATTGTTCCGCTTTTGAGCTTCTAGTTATAAACAACAGGATTATGGCAATGAAATAGATTGTACACTGCCTATCGGTCAAACAGACAACCTCTTTGTGGAAGATAGCACTTTGTCCAATGCTGCAAAGAGAGGTAACGTGTTCCACTGCGCAGGCCCAATAATGAAAGAAGACTCCTACAATCACGTGATAGGAAATGCGAGCGTTTACTACGGTCGACCTAAACAATACATTGGCGAAACGATTCGTTGGCCTCATCCATGTTGCACCGATTTCAAAGCTTAAATGAAGCGAAATCATAATTAACTGAATCGATTTTTTTTCGTCAGGATGGGTGTCCTAGCTGTTGGTCCTGTCCAGCTTCCTAACTCTGCGATAATGATTAATGAGTCAGCAAAATAAGAAGACTACGGGGGTTTGTTCCTCACACGAAACGCCGAAACAAGCATGTGTTTTTGTTACACCCACCTCCATCTATGAAGATCATCCAAAATACAAGGCAAAACGTCATCTTGGGTGTGCAGTGGTCCATGACAGTCTGTGACTCACACAAATGAAGAAAGGGGGCAAGTTTCTGAAGAATCTGTGGTGATGCGTCTGTACTGGAGAGTATAACAGGTAGTTAAGTGTTATCAACTGAGTTGATAACGTAAATTAGCCACCGTAAAGAGTTCTAATGGAGAAGTTCTGAGCGTTAGCCCTTCGTCAGAGCGAAACGTGTATTACCCCTACTCACAGCGAATCGTTCAGAAAGTTATGAAACCGCTTTTCCCGACCGCTTTACTCGACACGACGATGGCGGGGAGGCGGGGAGGCGGGGAGGCGGGGAGGCGGGGAGGCGGGGAGGCGGGGACTCGGGGACGTGATAAACAAGCAACACTTGATATTTGCGCTGAATTTGTAGAGTATAATTTTCGGTACGTGGGACGCGGGGACGTGGGACGCGGGGACGTGGGACGCGGGGACTCGGGGACGTGATAAACAAGCATAAACAGGGTAGTATATTTCTTAAACAAAATCCGAAGCCCACCTAACTGTTGAACAACTAAAAAAAATGCTTACTACCAATAGCTATTCTTCACTTATGTCTAAGCTGATGCATTATGCCAAAAACATAACTGGTAGTACTGGTTATTGGCAAAAGTCAAAAGAAGATCTGAATGCTACAATAAGCCAAAAGGGACCTCCAACAATATTTTTTACTTTATCATGTGCAGAATTTCACAAGCTTTTAAGCAACAATTTCACTGAAAAACTGACTCCAGGTGATAGACACAAAAATGTTTTAAACAATCCACATCTATTAGATTGGGTCTTTTCAGAAAGAACTGATCGGTTTGTCAAGTTTTGGTTGAAAGAATCACTGCACTCTTCCTGGCATTGGTATAGATATGAATATGCAGTCCAAAGAGGATCAATCCATTGTCATGGAGTTGCTAAATTAAAAAATGACCCATGAGGGATACTTAGCTTCAAAATATAAAAGTGAAAACCAACATGAACTAACTAAACAGCAAATTGTGAATATTGACAACGAAATACAAGAAGGCAAAGAGGCTGAGACAATCCTTTGTAGATATGTTGACTTTTTGATGTCAACCTGGAATCCTTCCTCTCCTGATGATGGATGGTCAAAACCAGAAATTCACCCATGTCAAAAATCATATCTTTCATTAAAAACCAATGAAATGGCAAATGATTACGTACATTTGTTAAATTCAGTCGAGAGACACACTACATGTAGTACTAAATAATGTCTTCGACAAAATGAAAAATCCGAATTGCGTTGTAGATTTAACTTTCCTTATGACGACTGTCCTGACACTAGACTTGATTTTGAACCAATAAATACAAAAACTGGTGAAACAAAATATAAAGCTGTTATTGTCACAAAACGAAATGACTCTAGATTGAATCGTCATCAACCATTACAACTTCAAGGGTGAAGAGCAAATTGCGACATTCAAATTGTTATAGATTATCATGCCTGTCTGGAATATCTTGTTAAATACACATCCAAAGCTGAGAAAGCATCTTCTGTTGTCAAAAATGCTTTCACCAATATTATCACCTAAATGAATGATACAACTGATACTCAAAGTGCCCTTAAGCAAATTTTGCTGAAAACTGTTGGTCAAAGAGACTATTCTATTCAAGAGGTAATGCATCATTTACTGTCAATAAAATTTGAAAGTGCAACACATGAGGTTATCACTGCATCTCTTGATGGATCGAGAAGAGTACACCTTAAAGCAAATAACCAAATTTGTACTGCTCCTTCATTGCTTGATACCTATGCTGAACGTTACGAGTATCTCAAGGTAGACCCGCAGTTATTAGAGTACAATTTCTTCAAGTTTGCATCAATGTTTACTTTCAAAGCCTCTAAACTTAAACAAAGAGACGAAAGTGTGATTGTCAAAACCTATCCTAATTATTCATCCAATCCAAAGAGTGAAGACTATGGTTTGTTTTGTAAATATCAGTTGCTTAAATACAAACCCTGGCAATATACACCGGATGATGCATGGGATAACCTTCCACAAGCTGATGAGACATACACAACATGTTGGAAAACATTCTTGCTAACTGATACTGCAAAATCCTTAGTCCCTGATTGGGAAACCAAAATGCAAGATGTAAACAACTACATATGCATAACACCTTTGAATGAGGATTCTTTTGAAGAAGATTACAACACCAAAAGTGAAAGAGAAGAGTGGATGCTTATGGCAGAGTTGACTATTCAAACAACTCATACTTGTGACAAATCTACACCTGTACCACATGCATATTGGCATCAAGTGTATCAGTATTTCACAAATGATGAGATAAATGCAATGCCTACATGGATAAACAGAGAGAAAAACAAGAATAGTGCTCACCATTCCTGTGAAACAAGAATCATAGATACTTCAACTTTTAGTAGAATGCAGCAAGTAGCTTATGAAATAGTTTCCAATCATTTTGCCAGTGGTGAACAAAATCCCTTGCGCTTTCTTATTATGGGTGTAGCAGGAACAGGGAAAAGCTATCTCATTGATTCCTTAAGAAATTTGCTTCAGGAAAAATGTAAGGTTTTAGCTTACACTGGAAAAGCATCATTCAATGTCAATGGAGTTAAACGCTACATTCACTGCTAAAATTACCTATTGGTTCAAAGAGACATTGTGATTTAAAAGGAATACCTTTGCAACAACTGCAAAGTAACCTTGAAAACGTTCAATATTTAATAATAGATGAATACTCTTTCGTTGGCCAGAGTTTGTTCGGATGGATTGATAGTCGTTGCAGACAAGCTACTGGACGAACAGACATGACATTTGGCAGCATATCTGTCATTCTTGTCGGTGACATAACTCAGTTACCACCAGTAGGTGACAAACCACTTTACCATTCTATGCCAAAATCAGAAAAGCAAATTCAAGATTTTCTCCTATATCATGAATTCAAGAAAGTTGTTAAATTGACAGTTAATCAAAGAGTTCAAGGAAACAATATTGAACAATCCAATTTTAGAGAAATGCTAACCTGAGCTAGCCATGGTGAATCAACTGAATCAGATTGGCACTCTTTAATTTCCAGAACACCGGACAAAGTGCACAATGTGAATGAGTTTGAAAATAATTCTGTAAGAATTTGTTATCATAAGGAAAAAGTCGCAGAATTAAACATTAGTAGACTTAAAAGCTTGGGTCAACCAATAGCAATAATTAAAGCTCGTCACTCTATTGGAGCACAAACACTTAGTGCTGATGACATGGGAGGCCTTGAACCTATAGTTTACTTATCAAAAGGAGCAAAAGTAATGTTAACGATGAATCTATGGACTGATGTTGGCCTTTGTAATGCAGCATTAGGCACAGTACTTGACTTTGTGTATGCTGAAGGACAACAACCTCCATCTCTTCCAATATGTGTATTGGTTGAATTTGATGATGAATATAAAGGACCATCAGTTTCTTCTCTGTTTCAAAGATGTGTCCCAATTTGTCCCATCACCCAAGTTTCAGAAAGTTTAGGAAAAAAATATGAGAGACAGCAATTGCCATTAAAATTAGCCTGGGCGATGACAATTCATAAATGTCAAGTTCTGACCCTCTCTAAAGCTTGGATTGATTTAGGATCATCAGAAAGATCTCCTGGAATTACATATGTTGCTTTAAGCAGGGTAAAAAAAAATACAAGATCTTCTTATTGAGCCAATGACACTAGAGAGGTTACAAGCGGTCAAAAAGTCTACTAACTTTAAGTTTAGATTAGAAGAAGAAAACCGTCTTGATATGTTGGCTAATGAAACACTGAATTCACATCTCAAAATATCTTTAAAAAAAATTTCGTATATGTCATACTCTTTTAAACAAATCAAAGCGATCAATGCACGCAGAAATATTTCTTTTACACTTGAGATTAAAAGATAAAAAGTCAATTACAATTCAAAATCAACTTTGTACAATTTTGATCTTGTCTCCCTGTGGTGAGTGGTTCCAAATATTTTCAACAAACATTTCATATTTCATATTCTACTCTAAAAAAAAGGAAATGCATTGTCAGTGTTACGATAAATGCGTCACTTGTCACGTTACCTGTTTCCTTATTTGGACATAAAATAAAGTTGTTGTTTTTTACTGAGCATATAGTACACATGTCATAACATGGTGTCAGGAGTGGGATGGATTTTCTGAGCATTCTGCATTTTTTTTTAAAATTAATCGCCGAAGGTACCTTGCTGATACTGTTTCCTTATATTATTCGTAATTTCAAAGAGAATTTTGAGCTCAAAGTGTAGAAAAAAGAACTCAAGATGCCGTCAGATAACGACCACGTGGAGTCGGGCGCGCAAATCGACGTGCCATCAATGGCAGCACCTAACACAGTTCAACCCACCGCCCCAATTTATCCTCAAGTTATTTATCCAAATTTTCCGCTGCCAAGTCCTATGAAGTGTCATGGTGACGTTACTGGCAACTGGGATTTTTTCAAGCAGCAATAGAGTGACTATGAAACAGCAACAGGCCTCGATAAGCGAGAGGAATCGGTCCGTTTAGCGACTTTGCGTTCATCGATGGGCAGAGAGTGTCTTCAGATCTTACTCAACCTAAATCTTCCAGAGGACGATAAGAAG